GAGCCATGTATCAACCACAACAAGTAAAATCGAATTGCAGATCTGTGGGTGACATGGCTTAGCAGCCTGTCACAAGAAGGAAAATCTGCTAAGCAGAAGTACAATGACCAAGAGCAAAAGAAGAGACACAGGCACAATGAATATTACTGAGACTCCCCTGCAATGGAGCAAAACCCTATGCCAACCTCAGAGTTTGCTGAGGAAGACATCGAGCAAATGACAGGTACAAAATTCAAAACACTTGCTATAAAACTTCTTACCAACATTGAGAAACACGTACTACAGGAATTCAAGGAATTTAAGGAATATGTCACACAGGAAATGAATCAAATGAAAGCTGATATATCAGAACTGAAGAATACAGTGGAACAAATTAAAGTGCAGTGGAGAGTCTCCAAAATAGAAGGAAAGAAAGAGAAGAAAGAATCTCAGAATTGGAAGATATTTCCTTTCACCAGGACGAAACAAACAAAACGCTGGAAGCAGAGCTGAATCAAGCCTAAAAAAATATTCAAGAATTGAAAGACACTATTATAAGAGGCCTAACATAGGAGTTATGGGAGTCCCAGAAGGTACAGAAAGAGAAACTGGGTTTATAGCTGTATTCAATGAAATAATAAGGGAAAATTTCGCTAATGTAGAGAAAGAATTGGGAAACAAGATCCAGGACATCCAGGAGGGGCACAGAAGTCTCAACAGGCTTGACCAAAAGTGATCTTCACCACAACACATGATCATCAAGCTCTCTTCAATCGAACATAAGAGAAAGATCCTTAAATGTGCGTTTGAAAAAAGAACAATTGACATTTAAAGGAATGCCAATTAAACTCACAGGAGATCTCTCACAGGAAACTCTATAGGCCAGAAGAGAATGGAAGGACATATTCCAGATTTTAAAAGAAAAACATTGTCGGCCCAGGATAATGTATCCCCAAAAAGCTTTTTTTTGTTTTTGAAAATGAAATAAAATTCTTCCACAGTTAAAAACGTTAAAAGAATTTGTCTCTTCCAAACCTGCCCTACAAATGATACTTCAACATGTTTTCTTCACAGAGAAGAGGAATAGCACCCACCAAAACCAAAGGCAGGTGTGAAGAACATCCCAGTAAAACAGAAGACTCAGTTAAACAATGAACAACCCATTGCTGAAATGACAGGACCAAATTACCACCCAGGTAATTTGTTAACAGTTTGATTGGGAGTCCATCTTTGATCTGAAAGTAGAGATGCATACTGAATATTAACCCTGAATGTAAATGGCTTAGACTCATCAATCAGATTAGTAGAATGGATTAAAAAACAAAACCCATCTATTTGTTGCCTACAGGACACATATTTTATCAACAAAGATCAACAGAAACTATATCTCATGGATTTTGGTGGGTTTTTTTTTTTTTAGTTTTATCTGTTCAAAACAATTTTTTTCTCATTAAATTGTCCACTAACTCACAGATCATGTAGTAGCATCATTTTCTTCAAGAAGGTTCTTGATTTTCTTGTCTGTTTCTTCGGTGACATGTTAGTCATTTGATAGCATGTTATTTAACTTAATGGTGTTATAAATTTCTGTTTTTCTTCCTTTTGTTGATTTTGTTTTATGGCTTTTCATTCAAGGGAATGTGCAGTAATTGTAATGGAGACTGTCATATCTAGATGTGAGGATTCAATGCAGTACGCATCTCTACATGCAGATCAAAGATGGACTCCCATTCAAACTGTTAGCTATATCTTGACAATAGGATGCTGGACTCTGTGCCATTGTCCATGCCCGCAATGATGTACATATGACTGTTTATGAAGAACTATACTGTAATAATAATAATAATACAGGAGAACTCAGTGATGGTGGGGAGGGTATTTGGTGAGGGGACAAGGGAAATCCCAGAACCTATGGAACTACCATAAAATGATAATAGTAATAAAAACGAAGTAAAAATTTTAAAAATGCCACTTCTCAGTCAAGTACAGTTGCACAGCAAGTTAATCCTCCACCCTGTTGTGCTGGCATCCTATGTTAGTGCCAGTTTGTGTCCCAGCTGCTCCACTTCCAGTGCAGTTCTCTGATTATAACTTGCGAAGACAACATAGAATGATCCAAATTGGTCCCAGCAGCGTGGCCTTGCGGCTAAAGTCCTCACCTTGAACGAGCCAGAATCCCATATGGGCACTGGTTCTAATCCCGGCAGCTCCACTTCCCATCCAGCTCCCTGCTTGTGGGCTTGGGAAAGCAGTCAAGGGCAGCCCAAAGCCTTGGGACCCTGCATCCTTGTGGGAGACCTGGAAGAAGTTCCTGGATCCTGGCTTCAGATTGGTGCAGCACCGGTCGTGTTGCGGTCACTTGGGAAGTGAATCATCGGACGGAAGATCTTCTTCTCTGTCTCTCCTCCTCTCTGTATATCTGACTTTGTAATAATAATAATAAAAAAGCAAAAAGAGTGATCCAAATCTTTGGGACCCCAGACCCACATGGGAGACCTGGAAGAAACTCCTGGCTCCCAGCTTCAGATCAGCTCAGCTTTAGGGAATGAGCCTTCTCTGTCTCTCCTTCTCTCTCTCTCTAAAATCTTCCTTTTTAATAAAAATAAATTAAAAAAAAAAAACAAACCACCACTCTTCTTCTTTCTTGGGAAGCAAAGAAGTACATTATGCATTTAACAACCCAGGTTGTTTGGAAGCTACCTGAGGACTTTTTTTCAGCCTCATTGCTGATGATCCTGGCATACTCTAGAATCTGGGGTTCCCAAGAACAGAGATGAATTAGATGATCCTTGAGGCTTGAGAGACGTACAGAACCTCTAGTTAGTCTGATAAATGAGGATCTTGTTCTGTATCCATCCCCTTCATGAAGACCAGGAGGGGAGGCTACTTCATCTGATGTGCAGGCACCAGCACAGAGAATCAAGGAAAACAAACAGAGAAATATTTTCCAGACAATTTCCAGACAGAAATTGGCTATAATGAAATGGAGATACATGACTTATCTGATAGAGCAATCAAAATAGTCTTAGAGAGATGTCCAGTGAGGTGAGGTAAATAATGCATAAACAAAGTGAGAATTCCAACAAGATTTTAAAAAGTGTATAACAACAAAAAAGTCAATGACAAAATTAACATTCCACTCATCATATTGTATTCACATGTCAGCTGGATTGAACAACATTTGTATGGATGTGTCTCATGTCAGAGAAAAGTTTAAGAATGCAAAATGCACAATGAATGACATGATACCATTAAAAAAAAAAGTGTGTAACAGTAGGAATCCTGAAGCTGAAGAATATAATAGCTGAGTTGAAAAAGGGATTAGAGGGGACTCAATAGATAAGATCAAAGCAGAAGTCATCAGCAAACTCTAAAATAGATCATTGGAAATTAATGCAAAAGAGAATGGGATAGCCTCCTGTATTTACAAGTGGATGCTAAAAGCATATAAAAAATGTGGATCTAAAATAAGCTTGTGAGATTCTTCGTTAAATTAAGTTGAATAGATTTCTGTTATTTTGGGCTCCTTGTATTTATTCTGCTGATGTGCATGTTTCAGTTTTTAGAAGGAAAATGTATGATATTATTCATATCATTTTCCAGATGTGTTTATCATAAAATCCCTTGGGGGGCCTAGTGTTGTAGAGCACATTTTAAGAAATAGACCCTGGGTAGAAGAGCAATAGTGAAATGTTTCAGTGATTGTCACAGCGGTCTGGGTGAGAATGTTAATGACATACAAGAGAAGGGCAAGAGCAAGGGATGTGAGTTCCCTCTCATGGCACACTCTGCAAGTAGTGACTTATCAGTAACTTAAAACCATGTACATGAGTTTAAGCTATTTAAGATGCAGAGAGCAAGAGAGCATACTCCCATCTGCTGGTTCATTCCCCACCAAGAACAAACAATCAAACAAAAAACCTGGAATGGCCTCTGCTTGGGGGACAAAGTGGGGCTAGAAACTCAGCGCAAGTATCCTGTTTAGGTGGTAACAGCTCAGTTGCTTGAGCCATCACTTGTGGCCTCAGAGAGTTTGCTTCAGAAGAAGCTGGAGTTAGGAGAGGAGGTAGATGTTATACCCAGGCATTCTGTTATGGGTGTCTTAACTGCTAGATCAAATGGTTGCCCCTGCAAAATGCATAGCTTGAAAGTTATTAATGGATAATTAAAAGACCTTACAACAAGTAATTGGAAATATGATTTAAAACTTCTGTGTGACAAATTTCATTCAAAGGAAAGTGCTTCTTTCTCGATTTAAAATAACTTCTACTGATGGCACAACCCCAGGCTTATTGTTTCATAATGTTTATGGCCTTGCTTGAGCTAATGCATTTGTTGAGGAAGTGGCAATATTGTTTGACTAAGCATGGTAACTAGTTGATTATGGGTCAGTCAGAGGTGATTGCTAGGAGTCTAGAGTGGAAAAGGGACATAGAGGTGGTAGTATCACTAGTAAGCTAAGATAAAGACCATTAATTTTGAAATGAAGGTGCCTCATCAATTTTTGATACCTAATTTAGAATGTAGAGTTTTCTGTAGGATGTTGCTATGCAGAAGAGAGGATCCAGGAAGCTACTAAATATATTTGTACCTCTGAAGGAGTCTGTACTGTTCCAGACTTTGTTTTACCTTTAGTGCCTCAACTGACGCTATCCTGGGGGCTTCGTATGTCTTTCATGACATAGAGAATATGAAATTCCAGGGTGAAGACACTGCACGTTCCTGGTTTTTGTCTCCATTTCCCATGTGTCGGTTTCCTTTGTCTTTCCATTGCTTCTCTATCAAGTGCAAGTTCTACCAAAACAATTTTTGTGTGTTTTTAAGCTTTTAATTGTAGGATTATTAACGCATAGATCATTTACCGCTTAAGTAACAGTTAAAGTTATCTCTGAAGTTCTGAGGAAGATGCTATCTATTCTTTGTTGTTACCCCCAAGTGAGGCTGTTGAGGGAATAATGCTGTAGCCTGGCTCTATTTTGTATTTGAAATGTAATAACAGTGTTCCTTCATTTTATTTATAGCTCCAAAAGGAATTCTTCATTTGTCTCCTGATGTTTATCAAGAGATGGAAGCCAGCCGCCACAAAGTAATCTCTGGCACCACTCTAGGCTATTTGTCACCCAAAGATATGAACCAGCCTTCAAGTTCTTTCTTCAGTATATCTCCCACAGCGAACAGCTCAGCTACCATTGCCAGGGAGCTCCTTATGAATGGAACATCTCCTACAGCTGAAGCCATAGGTTTAAAAGCAAGTTCTCCTACTCCCCCTTGTTCTCCAGTACAACCTTCAAAACAACTGGAATATTTAGCAAGAATTCAAGGCTTTCAGGTATGAATTAAAAACAAAGAAACCAGTTCATTAGCCCCAGATTGTTCATCTCTGTCCATCTGACGGCTCATTGTTGCCTGCCAGTGTGACCTGTTGGCCACTTACATTAGAAATTGTTTAGGAACACAAGGTCAGAGAAGGGAGAACCACAGGCACATGCCGGCTTTTTTCTCATTTTGTCTGTCCAGAAGTTATTTTGCTGCCTGACTCTCTTTCATTTTTTTCTTTGTCCCCATTTTCCTTTTTAAACATTTCTCACACACTATTCAGTCTTCCATTTGTTCTTAACTGGGTACCTTGCTCTCGGCACACTGTCTTCCACAAAAATTCTGTCCTTAGATACTTGGTGATAATGTTTCACACTCGATTCCTTCCTCTTTTAACATTAAAAAAAAATTTTTTTTTCTAATGATGATTTTTGCATTCATAGAAATTTTGAACTTACCATTCTGTGGTTAGTTGTGATTCAGGTACATGATTAAGGTACACATCCTAGAAGCCTGTTACATTAGGACTTAATTGAATTTGGTATGTGAATGATAACAAAATGCTTTCTAGTTGTGTAAGGTATGATAATGTGTATTGGTTTTACTGGGTCATGTTTTGAGCTATCTAGGTTGGGTAGTACCTGCCTCAGGTGGAATCTACAATTCTGTTTCACTCAGTAGGCTAAAACTAGCTTGTAGTTTAAAATAACTTGTGTATGTGAGTTGGGGATGGAAACTTTGCTCCCCTTTATTTATTCTTGTTTTCCTTTCAAGAAAAATCAAAAACTAATACTCCCTGATGGAGTGGTTAAAAGAATTGTTAACCCTCAGAAGGGAGAATCCATGTGTCTTGGTTTCTTAGTTGCCTTGAAGATGATGTACTGAACTGTAACTGCTAACCTGACTGGATGAACTGCAGCTTGCTTGTGTCTAGAATGAGCATATTGCTTCCTCAATTTTACTGTTCTCACTGCCCTTTCCATCTTAGTCTTATTCTTTAAGACCAAAAACTGTAATTTCCTTTAGAAATGCTCTAGAAGAACTGTATTGTGTAGAGTAATTATGTATTTATAAAAATTTTACAAATTTAGATTATAAAAATACAAAACAAGATCATGTGTTCTTTGGGGCTATTTTGCATGTTTGGTTTCTTTTTCTCCCTTCACAGAGCTCTTCTGTTTCTTTCAAATCTGTTGCCAGATAGTTGTTAGTGTTTTTAATTGGACTATTAATATTAAACTAAAGAAGTTGTTACCAATTATTGGCTGTGAAATTTTAAATGCATAATTTCAAGTTAACAATTTTAAAATTTGTTTTAATTGTCTACTTGAAAAATCACAATAAATCACTGTAAAGGAAAAAAAAAAAGAACCTTAGTTCATATGAAATGGAACTCAAGTAGTATTTGGCCTTTGTCTTTAATCTGCATAGGCCGAATTAGAAATAAACTGAAGAAAATGAACTCACTGCTTACTTACAGATCTAGTCACTTAGAAATATCTGAGAGTAACACTGCAGTTTTGTAGAAACAAAACACAAATTGTACTCAAGCCCTGAATTGATTTTTTGCTTGGAGATGTTACTATGATAGATGTAACTTTGCTGCCAGAACACTTAGCTTTTTGTTTTGTTTTTATTTGTTCTGTACAATGACAATTATAATTTCAACATATCTTCACTTATCTAAAATGCAGTTTGCTTCTTCCAGTGGAGAGTTGACTGTTTAGGCCTTTTAGAAAGCTTTTAGTATATGCTTATTTATGGGCACATTATACATTTTCAGATATGTGTCCTTTAATTCTGACATACCGATGACTACAAACAGATGGTGTAAAAACATTCCTGTGTTTATTTGGCTGAATAACCTGATATTGATGTGAAATACTGTGTCACTAAGGAGTTAGAACATATAGTTGAGCAGTGAGCCATCTCTGTGGGAAGTGACTTGGTGTTCTGTCCCACATTGAACCTGTTTTCCTAATGTCATGGTAGAAGGTTCTTTATGATTAAAAGTTTTAAAGCCTGTTTCTCTCTAGGTCATTTTCACAGGTATATTTATCTGGCAGAAAAACATGTAGATTGCTTTTATTTCTCAAATGTTTTAATTGGCCTGTAGTTTAGAAATTATAGATCCAGCTTGTTGTAGGTATTTTTCTGCTTTGTTACTTTGGAATTTAAAAACAATAAATTCTTTCGCTTTGTATCTAGGCTAGTACTTTTTAATTTTATTGCACCCTAAATAGATAATGTTGCTTGTTGGATACTGAATAAACCCTTCTCTGGCCGTTCATTGCAGTTTGACTTAAGCCTCCATGAGCCATTGTATATGACAGCTGCATTACATTACAAAGTAAAATATGCGACTGTATTGAAAACAAAGTTGTTTTTAACTTTGAAATTTTTCATTATCACACCATTAATTGAATCACAAAAAGTAGTTTGCTCATCAGAATGTAGCTATAAGCTCACAACCTTTTTTTCATAAGTAAAATTAAAGTTACTGTGCACAAAGCTGATTTCATGGAAGAGATTGTGACTGAACATCTGCACATTTTCAGTGATTGTCCAACCGTTTGCTTTAACCTTTCTTGCACCAACTGAAATTTCATTACATGTTAGAATCAACCTTTTTGGAACTCTTCTATAAGTGAACATTTGCTTCGAACAGTTTATTGCATGCATTTTATTTTAAAACCTGAATGCTCTTATTATGTTTTTTTTTAAAGAAAAAAGGTTTTATGTCAGTGGTTCTGTTAACCTTGACTTAATTCAGTTCAGTTATGCCGCTGTAACTTCTATACTTTGCATGAAAATTTGCTAGAGATGTAGTGTTAACCTAGTGTCCACATTTCTTGATGTCTGATTGTACTGCCACAGTATTTGAGAATCGTTTGTCTTTTCAAGAAAATCATAGGAAAAAAATCATAGGACATTCTTGAGATGCTGGAAAGTAGATTTTGTTTTGTGTTGAACTCTACATTAGTCTGAAAGTTTACAGTTTTAATATGGTTTTACATTGTCCAAAGCATCTTCACAACTAGTAAATACAAGCAAATCTTTGGTTAAAATTGATCATTAGAAAAATGATTGAGTTGGAAATGAAAATGAGTTGCTTTAGTAAATTAACCCTTCTCAGGGGATTGAGTTTCAGTCTGCTATTTTGTGCAGTTAGATCATATTTTTTCCAAAATAATCAAAGAATGTTTTATACATGGACCTTCCATTATTATGAGTTTTAGATTATGGAAACACCTACTTAACATTTTTCTTCTCAAATATAATTCACACCTATTATATTTAACATATCTCTCCTTTTGAGAAATTTTATATCACTGTAGTTGGCTTTATGTAATTAGAGCCATCTTTTAAAATTTTACCTACAGCAATATGTGACATTAGAATGGATTTCATTGAGATCGGGCAGGTTGGCAGTGTGGGCTGGACTCCCTTCACATTTAAGAATCAACCTTTTTTCTTATAATTCTTACACCACATGTTTTTTTAATTCATTATTTACCATCGAAGAGGCAATTTGCAGTTTTTAAAAAGAATAAGATGTCCTCTTTAAAAAAAAAGTCCAATGTAGCTGCAACTTAATGGATTTCCAATAAGATAAGTGTGACAGAGCAAATTATACATATACTAAGGGTACTTTATGTTTATGGAATAATGAAATTAAGAGATAAACTTATTTTGGTACAATTTTTTTTTCAGTTTGTGCATACATATTTCATAATGTACATTTCCATGAACTTTTCAGAAAATATTTCATGCACATAAATTTCAACATATTTGGCAAAAAATATAAGTTTGAAGTGCTTTCATACATATATACATTTCTTAGAAATATGTTTTTTTCATATTTACTGTGTTACTTCTGAGCTCAGGTTTTCATGTAGGCTGTTACACAATTGATTGCATATCATGGTGAGAAATTATTTAAACTACTAGGGACAAAACAGATTTATGGTTTTTGCAGTTATTTGTCAAAAATCCCTCTTGAATTTATTACTTTCCAGAGACCCTGAAAGATTTGTTATGTATTTGAACTCTTAAACGGTTTGCTTTTCCTATAGCGACTCTAAAACTTAGGGCTATTCTTTAAATGAGAAGTCTAATTTTATGCGAATTGACTTACTGTGTTTGGTGTCTTTAACCCTTCATGTGCTGTCCAAGCCCCTGGGGGTAGCAAAACTACATAATGCACAATTACACTTACTTAGAAAGTAGTAGAACTATAAATCAACTTCTTTGGCTAGAATTTTAAACTCTGTTGAGGAAGGAATTACTTTTGAAGAAAGAAACCCTAGTGTACATAACAGTATTGTGACAAGTCACAGTGACACATGTAAGAAACAAGCAGACGTTGAATAAAACAGTTCATTATTGCTGCATAAAGTTTTCTGTTTTGTATCAGAAGAAATTTCAACTCAACATGAAGGTTCTATTATTTGAAAGTAAGATATTATTTTTCATCTGAAGATGGATTACATGTTTTTTTTTTGCTACAAAAGGTGGACAAATATGTGATTTGTGCTTCATGACCCAGGGCTAGTTGTAGTCTCCATCAGGTGGCCGATAGCCGTGTACCCAAGCTCATCTTCAGTCGTGTTGAAATGATTCCTGCCTTGTCCTTTCCAGCATTTACCTATGTCTGAAGTGGTGTCCTCAACACCCACATGTCAATAGAAAATCTTTGCTACATACTCCTACATGCTTTCCTACCTAACATTGTGTCATGAAATTACTGACATCATGATACATTCTAGGTTCTGTATAGCTCTGCCATCTTAGCATAGTCTTATCCAAAATCAAATTTAACTATCAGAAAAATGAGTCTTTATAGCATTGTCATTTTTAAAAAGAGAAATCCAAAATGAAGTCCTAAAATGAAATATTTAAGACTATGTTATTGCTGGAAAGTGATACAGAGTTCACAGCATAAGAATTCTTATTAAGAAAGAGGTAGAGAAAAGATTGTGCATTATGAACAGTTTTCAATAATTCCAGTGTAAGCATGAAGAATTAAATATGAAGTTACCTTGGCTGTAGAATTTTATCTCATTGACTTAGCTGAAGAACAGGGGAATGGGGGTATTTGTTTATTCAGTCTAAGCAAGTCCTGGGTAGCGTGCTTAAGCGCCGGGTACTGTAGCAGTTGGGGAATGACAGGTAAATAAAACTGCTGTACTGAAGGTAAACCACTGATGAAAGTTACACCAATCCCAGGAACCACTGCTGAAACAGGACACATCAGTTTGATGCAAAAGTGATTAGTAAAGATTTTTGCATTCTGGAGGGAATAATGTATCTAATCTTCCCCTACATAATTGTCAAAGAGTGCATAACCCAGTAAGCATTGACTGCACATCTGGTTAACAATGTCATTAGAATCACGAACGAGAGTGAACATGGTGACCGAAGGAATTATGCAAGAATTCATAGCAAACAGAACATTTGAAATACTTTTTAAGGAACATCAGGTAGCAGAAGTAAAATAATAAAGACATTGAAGGACAAGGAGTTTCAGAAAATGCACAAAGTGAAGGTGGCTGGTGAGGCTAAAAGATGCATTTTTAAAATGGGAATTTGAATTCTTTCCACCTGTTGGCAGAGAACACTGACATCTTTGAAAGGATAGTGGCATGATTCATTTACAGAAGGATAATTCTGTAAGCAGTATAAAGGAAGACCTAGACAACACAACAGTAGCAGAGAAAGCAATGAGCATAGTTTTTTTTTTTTTTCAATCCAAGAAAGACTAAATGCCAAATTAAGGCAGGGTTGGTTGGTCAGCTTCACTGAGTTGGGCCAGTATATGTTTGTGTAAAGTGCAGTTCAGAAAATCAAGTGATCTCTTGGGCTGACTTCTAAGAGAATACTTTCACTAGTAATCAGGGTTGGAACCAGATTTGTTTTGTATTCTAAAGTAAATTGTATTCTAAGGTAAAAAGACCTTTTTATGAGTAGAAGAGATAATAGGGGTGCAAGATGTTTTACACAATGTTTTGTTAATGTAAGCTGAATAAACTTAGAGGAAAGTAATGAGTTCCACTTTAAAATGTATTTTTATTGAAAGGCAGAGAGAGGGCTGGCACGATGGCACAATTGGCTAATCCTCTGCCTGCTAGTACCAGCAACCCATAAAGGTGTCAGTTCGTGTCTCAGCTGCTTCACTTCCCACTCTCCTGTGGCCTAGGATGGCCCAGAGCCTAGGGACCCTGCACCTGACCAGGAGACCTGGAGGGAGCCCCTGGCTTCGAATCAGCTCAACTCCCTTTGTTGCAGCCATTTGGGGAATGAACTAGCAATTGGAAGATCTTTCCCAATGTTTCTACTTCTCCCTGTAAAATCTGCCTTTCCAATAAAATAAAAGTAAAACTAGAGAAGGGCAGAGAGACATATTCTGCATCCATTGATTTACTTTCCAAATGCCCGCAACAGCTGGCCCTGCCTGAGCTATTCCTAAAGCAGGCACTAGGAACAAAAGCTGGGTTACTTCCATGGTAGCAGGGACCCACATGTTTGAGTCATCACTGCTGCCTGGTAAGATACACACTGTCAAGAAGTTGGAGCCTGCAGTGGAGTTGGGATTCAAATCCAGGCACTCCAGTAGGAAATGTTGGTGTTACAAGAGGTGTCAACGGCTATGATAAATGCCCATCAATTAGTTCCATTTTAAACAGGTAGGATTTGAATTTCTGTAGGATATTTAGTTGGAGTTGGCCAAGAAACTGTTGAAATGGATGTGGTGGTCAGCAAGAGAAACTTAGACCCGTAAAAGTTTGACTAGAAAAAAATGGACAGAAGCCTAGAGGATATTCTCAATGAATACTAATGTGTGATTCAGTCAACATGTGTTTATTATTAATTAATCTATGTATTGATTCAGTCAGTATGTGTTGAGCACCTCCTATGGCCTGGTACACTTCTGGAAGGTGAGATTATAGCATGAATATGACAGTCTGCTAGCACTGGAATAGGAGTGTGTGGGAGGTGGAGATGACAGTAGACAATTACAATGAACACTGCAAATAGCTTTTAGCTCCTAAGATAACAATTACTTGGGGATTAATTATGAGATTAATTATATAATCATCTGAGACATATAAACAGTAACAGTGTTTCCAATTGCTGTGTCAAAGTACTACACTTAAAATATTTATCATTTGAAGGTCAGCGTTACAGAGATCTTCATCAGCTGGTTCACTCTCCAGAGGGCCTCAGTGACCAAGGTTGGGCCAGGAAGAAACGAGGTGCTTCATCTGGATCTCCCATGTGGGTGGCAGGGGCCTAGATGCCTAGGCCAAATTCCACTGCTTTTCCCAGGCTATTAGTAGGGAGCTGGATCCAAAGTGGAACAGCTGGTACACCAACCAGCGCCCATAGGGATGCTGGCATTGCAAATGGTAGCTTTATTTGCTGTGCCACAACACTCCTGGCCCCAAGAATTAATACTTTTTAAATGTTTTCATCAATGTGATTGAGGTATAATGTACATACCACAGAACATTGTACAGTTTTATGTATTTTTTTAGAATTTATTTTGTTTTTATTAGTAAGTCAGATATACAGAAAGGAGGAGAGATAGAAAGGAAGATCTTCTATACAATGATTCACTCCCCAAGCAGCCACAAG